GATGGCTTTTCAGGCTGTTCCCGGGCCTTCACATAGCAGTTTCACTAGGTAGTGTATATAGGTAGTATATTCCTCTCAAAGCCGCTGTGCTCGGGGAAGAATCGGCTCTGGGCTATTCCTCAGGCCTACACATAGCAGTCTCACTAAGTAGTATATTCCCCTTAAAGCCGCTGTGCTTAGGGGAAATGGCCACATGGCAGCTCGCCAGGCCCTCTACTTATCAGATTTACATCACCAGCGTCAGGCTCGGGCTACGCAGTTTTGGGGGATAGTATCTAATCTCCACGCAGTTTTGGGGGTTAGTTATTTGATCATCACTCATCGTGCTATGTATATCTATGGAGTGATGATGCCCGAGCCTAGTCGCCAAACTCAACTATATGCTGCTTCTAATAAACATGTTGAAGGAACACGTGAGTTGTCTGACTGAAATGAGGCGAAGCCTGCGAGCTAGTTCAGGCAGTCAACTCGAGCACTTATGCTGCATTCATACATAACGCCCCTTGCCACTCTACAACCAACCAAACAGAGTCTCCTTAATATGCCGCTCTATTGAACCTGCCAGATCTCTCTCCATGCATTGCTGCTGCTGCTATTGCTGCAGATACCTCTACGTCGCTGCTGCTTGCCTGCCCCACCACCACCCCAGCTTCCACCCCAGCTTCCACCTGTAGGCTCGGGGTTAGTTATTTGATCATCACTCATCGTGCTATGTATATCTATGGAGTGATGATGCCCGAGCCTAGTCGCCAAACTCAACTATATGCTGCTTCTAATAAACATGTTAAAGGAACACGTGAGTTGTCTCACTGAACTAGACTTCTCAGCAGCAACACATGGCATATACATACAAGCAGACATCTTTGTGTCAAAAATGGCCAAAATGGAAGTAAATCCATACCTGATTTACTGGTATGCCGCTTTCCTCACCAGTAGAGAGCAACTTGACCAAACCCTGTCATCTGCCATCACAACCAATGTAGGGGCCCCCCAGGGCTGCGGGAGTTCAGCTGTGCTCTTTACTAGCTTCTTGTTGGAGAAATACTGTTTTCTCCTATCTTTGAGTTGTTTTAATACACTGATACTATGGGTGACTGAACTATGTATGACCTTGCAGCTGCTGCCTCTTCTTGTGATAGGAGGCAGGCAGGGCTTTTTCATGTTGTTGATATTTATGAGGAGACAGACTTGCTGTCTCCTAAATATCTCTTTTCTGTGAGGCGTGAAGGAAGTACGTGACTCTTTCCAGAAGACGACGCAGATGATCCCGACACCTTTCCTACACCCGCGGATGATATTAGCGCCAACTCGATTTACGACTTTGTTGTTATCTCTGTGTTTTGGACTATATAAGCCTGATGTTTTTTGCTGCTCCGTTGAGCAACATACCTCATGTGTGTGAGTTAACCCATATCCTTTGTATGTGATTTAATTCTGCTCCTTCTTGCAAGAATAAATTAGTTACCTGATCATTGATTCTCAACCTGGTGTCGAGTGATATTTTTCTAACACTTCTTTTAGCTTCTTTTGATGACTTTACTGAACTGCTGTCTATAGTGTGTTTTGACTTTGACCGTCTAGTCATTGTTGGTGATTTTAACATCCATGTTGACAACCCCCAGGACAGAGGGACTAAAGAACTGTTTTGTGTTCTTGATAACTATGGTGGGGACCCTCTCATGACATCCAACTATAGGCCCATCAGTATCTTACCAAGGTATCCAAGTATCCAAGGTATTTGAGATGTTGATTGCCAAACAAATCATCAATCATCTCAATAACAGCTCCTTTCCACTGCATCCCATGCAATTTGGATTCAGGGCTAATTCATATCTTTCATCCCGCTCCCAATGTGTTCAAATTGAGAACCATAAGTCGAGTGCACTATGTTTGTCAACTGGGGTACCGCAGGGCTCTGTATTGGGCCCAATCCTGTTTAGTATTGTTACGGCTTGCTGCCTTCCGGGTCGTCTTTATTGTGTTAATCTATGTTGTATGTAAATGAGCAGTGCGATTGCCCTGACGTCATTGGCTGCCATCTAGACAAAGCTTCTTATATGTGTTAGCATAGCTAGCTAACCAGATGCTAATAACAACAAAGTTATTGACTGTATGATCAGTATGACAGATGAGCAGATCACCACTGGGCTTACAACTAAGACACAGCGACGCAAAAACTGCGGCATGTGTACGGCTCCTTATCGGTATTGACATTTTTGGAAGTGCCGGAGCGGAGCGGCGTTCTGGTACTCTCCGTCAGAACTGCACCCCTGTCAGACGCATGGTCAGACGAGACATACCACGTGATGACACATTAGGCTTGTGTTGTGTTCAAGGACCCTGACCTTGGCCAGGAAAAACAGGCACTCGCTTGTTTAATTTTTTGCGGTCTAGATTTTTTTCTTTTTTGCATGTGTTTATAAATTACCTCGAGGGCCGTACCAAATTGTTTCGCGGGCCGTATACGGCCCGGGGGCCGCAGGTTCCCCACCCCTGTTTTAAATAAATAAATGCAATGGACTGACTCAGCATGTGACGGAGCCCACGCACAATAAGGGGCACTCTCTGGACTTAATGATCTCAAAGGGTCTGAATATCTCTGAGGTTGTGGTGACTGATGTTGCGCTCTCCGTTCATTCCTTTGAGAGCTCTATTTCTATGGAGAAAGGCCATGACCGTGAGAACAGAAAAAAGAGAGTGTCGAAAAGCTGGAGGTGGAGAAAAACAAATCTCCAGGTTTACTTTGAAATCTATAAAGAGAGACTTGGCTTTTGTCATTTGGAATTGTAAATTGCACGACAGTCTTTCTTCTCTGACATCATTGCCAAAAACAAAAACAATGCACGTGCCTTGTTTGCTACCATCGACAGACTAACAAACCCCCCAGTGTCAGTTTCCCCCCCATTCAGAACATCAGACAAGCAGTCAGTGCCTCTGCATCAGGTACAGCAGATGTGTTGTCTCTGTGTCCACCTAAAATCAATACAAACACCATGACACAGTTCCATCAGATTAATGATAAAAACCTAGAGGACATTATTCAACTTCTGAAATCCTCCTCCTGCTGCCTTGATATTATTCCAACAGGGTTTTTCCAAGATGTTTTTCCTTGCATGGCCTCAGATCTACTTCACATATACCTCATTCACACCAACGGTGTTTCAGGGCCGGTTCGGAGCTGGAGCTTGAAAAGCACCGGGTTTTCCTCTTCACACCGCAGCCCCTTAGCTCCGGAATCCGGTTCGTTTCAAGCACCAACCATTTTCCGGCCAGAGCAAAAGCACCGCATACGTCACGCTTACGTCGAGGCGGGGGCGGGATCAACTCCTGAACAACAACAAAAAGCCCGCGTTTTATCCAGTTTGTACACAACGATGGAGAAACTTAATAAGCAGCAGTGGTCCACTGAAGAGACCAGCTACCTGATGGGAATCTGGTCTTCCGAAGAGGTACAGAGGAAGCTGGAGCACAATCGGCCATTGTTGTTGTTGTCGGTGTGAGGGGTTTCCGTGCGGTTTGGCTTTATGAAGCAGGCACGCAAACGGTTACGTCATGACGCAGGGCGGTGTGAAAAGAGCCAGAGCTAAACCGAAGAACCAGTTCTGAACCTGAAAAGCTCTAGCATGGAGCTTGAACCGGAGTTGCGTTGGTGTGAATGAGGAAATAGTAAACAAGTCTCTTCACTCAGATGTTTTTTCACAGGCTCTGAAAACTGCAGTCATTAAACCGCTCTTAAAAAAAGAATAATCTAGACGCTTCAGTAATGAACAATTACAGGCCCATATCAAACCTCCCATTTCTAGGTAAAATCATTGAAAAAGTAGTTATTCAACAGTTGAGTAATTTCTCGCATTTAAATAACTGTTTGGATGTGTTACAGTCAGGCTTTCGTCCAAACCACAGCACTGAGACTGCTCTTGTAAAGGTCTTCAATGACATCCACTTATGGCGCATTTCCACTGCAGGGCCTCGCACGGCTTAGTACGGTATAGTTAGGCCTTGATAGGCCAGGCTCACTTTATGCTGCATTTCCAATACAGTTTAGGAACTGGGGCAGTAACTAGGGTTGCAAAATTCCAGGAATTTTCAAAGATGGAAACTTTCCACGGGAATTAACGGGAATAAACTGGGAATTTTCTAAATTGAAGGTTGGCTCTTCATAGGGAACTTAAATATAGATGGAGAAAGTATATTTTAGCATAATCTTGACTGCAACAAACAGATGCCATTCAAGTACACTTGAATATCCATGCCATAGCACACTGCTTACTGCATGGCTATTGAGACCACACAAAGGTTCGCAACAGGCTCACAAATGTGAGAGTGGAAAAACTGGTTGGCATTCAGCAAACCTAAGGCTCTTTGAGCCAGACACAGAGCCATCCTCAACAAGGCTGGACAGTGACACTGAAGAGGAAGACTCGGAGTGTGATGTTGATGAGGCCCAGGAAGAGCCCGTTGACTGAAAGGGTTTAGTCAAAATGCAGAGGATCGCTTGAAGGAAGATTTGCATGTTTAATGGGACTTTGTGGAGGGAGAAGGGCTCTTTTCATTTAACATTTTGAATGGGACTTTGTGAGGATTTTTGGATGGGGGGTGCATTTTTGTTCATTTTTTAATGAGTGGGGTTGGGGGGGATGAGTAACATTTAACTCAACATTCCTGTTTTCGTTCTTCAATGAAACAAATAATAACTTGTTCTGTTCTACTTTTTTTTTTTTTAAATGTAAAAAAAGAAATCTGTTGAAATGTCATGTTTTTTTGTTTAATTTTGCATCGAATATTTCCAATATTCCCCGGCTTCACTTCCCATGGAAACTTTCCGGAAACTTTCCGCCCCTTTGCAACCCTAGCAGTAACTATAGTAACGCAGTGTAGGCGGAGCCAGCGACGTCATCTTCAATGTGTGTCACTACCCGATCTGCAGCCCTGCCCTATCTGCAGTGCGCGTGTGCGAGATGGTCCGCCATATTTGACAACTCCATATGGCAACTCTAATAGGACATTTGACACAGTGGCGTTTGGCAAAGCAGAAAAAGAACACTCAAAAAACCCGACAATATTAATCTGAACGAGAGAGATGAGTTATTGTTATCACAACGTGACTTCACTATTATTGAACAACTCCTTTTATTGGGTCATTTTATTGGTTTAAGTACATTGTCAGAATAAGTGAGAAATGGATGTAACTTCTGTTAGACAGCCATCATACATACTGAAGAAATATTGACTAAATGTATGCAATATGTATGGCATTCATAATTGATATTTAATTACATTAACTCTGAATGTCCTTCATTTTATTTCAAATAACAAAATATTTTAATAAAGATATTTGAGACGTTTATGACTCGCGCATGAACGATGCAAATCAGGCAGCCGTCTAGACGTCAAATCTCCTATTAGAGTTGCCACTTGTTGAATTCCTGTCCATTTCATGTACATTTCATGAGTAGTCAAATATGGCGGACCTTCTCGCACATGCGCACTGCAGATAGGGCAGGGCTGCAGATCGGGTAGTGACAATGTGAACCACAAAACCAACATCAGCCGTTAGCTGTTAGCCCTCAGAGCTCACAGCTCCTCATATCTGTTCAGAAACTAGACAGAAGTTAAACAAGTACAAACCACAGACTGTCCGTGTCATGGCGAATACAGTCGCTGCTTTATGTATGTCTGTATAGGGCATTCCGAGCTGAATAAGGGCGTCAAATGAAGGCAAGACGCCCGCCTGGCGGAAACGCTGGAATTAGGAATATATTGTGATGAAGTGCACACTGACCTGAGCTCCAGGGGTCTCTTTCTTCTCCTCCATGCTGCTCATCAGCTGTCCTGATGAAGACCACAGAGCTGCTTCATTATTAATATAATACAAATATTTAGATATAATTCATCATGATCTGTGTCGCAACTTACATTCTAACTTACAGCTCACAGTTTGTTCACTTTTATTTCATTAAAATGACTTTATTCACATAGAAAGTGACATTAATGGTTGTTTGAACCACTGTTATAGCGCTATCCGTGTGTAACTATCACTAAGTTAACACAGAAAGCAAACATTAGCTAGTCAGACTGTTTAATGTAGTCCATGTATACAGTATTTTCTGTATATTGTGTATTCTTTAGATACTCTAGTGATATGTGTCCTGTGTGTATACTTGCTGCTAATGCTTCATTTGTATTATATCTTATTGCATCTTTTAAATATGTTTAACTCGTGTAATGCCTGAAAACACTTCTGCTGTGACACATTCATTTCCCAGTTTAAGAGAAATCATTATTTAAATAAAGTATATCTATTTATCTAATGAGCTAAACCGTCGCTTAGCTTAGCGTTAGCTGCTAACTGAAGAACCCCATTCATTTCAATGGGAACAATGCTACGTGGCGGTGAATGGCGATGCTAATAAGCTAGTTAGCATATATTTAAAACCATATCTATGGTAAAGAGCACCAACACAACAACTCAAACCGTCTTAAACACAACTGGTGTAATAAATAACTAACATAAAGTCAGCTGAGCATTACAAATCAACTGTTACTCCCCCAGAGCCGAACTGGAATAATAACTGTAGCTTTCAGACTAGCTGTTAGCCTTTATTTAAAGATAGATTGAGACTATTTTTGTCGCACATTTTAAAGTTTGTTTGTGAGTTTCTTTCTACCAAGATGATAGCTGTTGTGTTAAATAAGATAACTTCTGATTCATGATTAACTGTAAGCTAAGAGGTGTAAATACACTTAATGAAACCTCTGCAGGTGTTTAATTCACTCACCTCTTCTTTTCTCCTTCTCCTCTCGGTTTTTGGCGGATTGCAAAGAACTTTAAAGGTTCATCCTCTTCTTCTCTCGTGTTCTTCTTCTTCTTCTTTCGTGTTTATTGGCGGCTGGCAAACCAACTTGTAGGTGCATTACCGCCACCAACTGGACTGGAGTGTGGACAAGAGACTATGCAGAAAACAAGAAACAAAAGAAACAAAACAAAGAACCAAAACTCTAGATTATTTTAAATGTATCAATTTCTCTTAGAAACTTAATAATCTCACAATATATATTGCCTGATGTTTTCCCTAACAGCCCTGATAGCGACAAGTCATGGAATTTTGCTTTCTTCAGTGTCTGGAAAAGCACATTTCTCTGAGTACTATATTTCCTGCAAAGCAGTAAAACATGCTCAACAGTTTCTGGCTGGCTGCAGTGTGTACACTTTCCGGTTGGATGCTTTCCTATTATACTTAAAGTATGATTGAGACCTGTATTATACTTAAAGTATGATTGAGACCTGTATTATACTTAAAGTATGATTGAGACCTGTATTATACTTAATGTATGATTGAGACCTGTATTATACTTAAAGTATGATTGAGACCTGTATTATACTTAAAGTATGATTGAGACCTGTATTATATTTAAAGTATGATTGAGACCTGTATGACCTATTCTCATCCGAGAAATGACATTTTCTCTGGCAGCTAGCGCGTGGCCTCGTGCACGAGAGAGGGGAGGGACTTAGAGCGTGCTTGAGAGGGGAGGGACTTAGAGCGTGCTTGAGAGGGGAGGGACTTAGAGCGTGCTTGAGAGGGGAGGGACTGCAGGCACGGCTGCAGTGCAGGGAGTGGAAGCAGAGCGCTGAACACACACAGCTCTTATTAAAACGGCGCTTTCTCACCGGAGTACTTTTCCCCGTCATTCTTAAAGTACCGATACTAATGAAACTGAGGAATCGTAACGTTTTTAACGGCAGGGTATTGCGGTACCTTTCAAGTATCGGTACACCGTGCAACACTAATCTGTAATGGAAAAAAGGATTACCCAACACAAGGCCAATAGATGGGAATTGTTTGTTGTAAACTGAAAAAACTAAATATGCTTAAATGCGGCTACTACACTCTTAAAACCACTATGTCTTTTCTCCTCAGTGAACACGAACATGTGATTTGAGACCACTTGATGTAGTGAACGTTTTCCCACACTCTTCACACCAGTACGGTTTTTCTCCTGTGTGAACACGTTGATGTGATTTGAGAGCACTTGATTGAGTGAAAGTTGTCCCACACTCCTCACAGCTGTAAGGTTTTTCTCCTGTGTGAACACGTTGATGTGATTTGAGACCACTTGATGTAGTGAAAGTTTTCCCACACTCTTCACACCAGTACGGTTTTTCTCCTGTGTGAACCCGTTGATGTGATTTGAGAGCACTTGATGTACTGAAAGTTTTCCCACACTCTTCACAGCTGTACGGTTTTTCTCCAGTGTGAATACGTTGATGTGATTTGAGAGCACCTGATTGAGTGAAAGTTGTCCCACACTCTTCACAGCTGTACGGTTTTTCTCCTGTGTGAATACGTTGATGTCTTTTGAGATGACCTGATTGAGTGAAAGTTGTCCCACACTCTTCACAGCTGTACGGTTTTTCTCCCATGTGAATATGCAGGTGGCGCTTTAAATTTCCAGATGCTGTAAAAGATTTGTCACATTGCTGACAGCTGTGACGTCTCGCTCTTCCTTTCGGTTTCTAGAACAGACGGACAGAGAAAGAGAGAAAGTCAATCTAAAAAGCATAAATACACAAGTTAACACAATAAAAACTCACTTAATATAAACCTCGAGTCAAAGGTCCCATGTCATGCTTTTCCAGTTATTACCCGTCCCCTTGTGTGTTATGAAGGTTTTTATGCATGTAAATGGTGTGCAGAGACAAAACCCTCAAAGTACACCCTGTAGCGAGTAAAACTCTAACACAGAAAATACCTCCCCAAAACGCCTCGTTGGAGATACGTCATTGTCCATTTGATTATTCCGGGTACGAGATTACGTAAGCACGTACCCGGAACGAAATGGACCAATCCGTGGAGCAGTTATGTCTGCGGAACCGTTACGTTAAGCCCCCGCTGATTGGTCCAAATTGACCAATCCACAGACTTCCTCACACACACACACACACTCAGTGCAGGAAGATCTGCTGATTTCTCCTCCCTGGCTGCAGGCTGATAACAGACAGTTGGGATCGTGGAAAAATTCTCTCTGCAGACCCATTCTCACAGCGTTTATCAAACTTTTTCTTACTCAATATCAAGCCACACTTATTGTTTTTACTTCGGCTGTGAGTTTGTGTGTGCTCAGGATGAGTTTGGCTGTGTATTGCTAAACAAGGAAACGACACCTCCACGGAGCTCAGCGCGATTCACAACGTCCCGACCAATCAGAGCACACTGTGCTCACAGGGAGGGTGGGGGCTAGAGCTATTGGAGCAGCAACGAGCCGTTAAAGGCAGAGAGTGAAATTCAGTGAATACACGTAGTTTACAGAGATGCTGTTTGAGAAACCAATGTGAGTTTGGAAAATTGCACAATAAATCTATTCTAGTAGACCTCAACAATGGAATTATGATCAGTGGAAATGGCCATGACATGTGTCCTTTAACAAAATACTACTTATCAACTGTTTGTGTTTATTATATTTGTACAATCCCAAAAAACTATTCTCCATCTTCTCCACCCTCTTGGACCCTCCCAAAGCCCCTCCCCCCTCCTCACTTCTGTCAAGCGACTTTGTTAACCACTTTGAAAAAAAGGTTGATGATATTCGCTCTTCTTTTTCTGACTCACCGCTGGGTGACCAGACCCTCCTTTCACCCACACACTAACCTCCTCCTCCCCTCTCTCTCCAAGTGAGGTTCTTACCCTCATTACCTCTGCCCGCCCTACCACCTGTCCTCTGGACCCTATCCCTTCAAACCTCCTTCAGACTATCGCTCCTGATATTCTACCGTTTCTCACCCATTTCATCAACACTTCTCTAACTTCTGGTCACTTTCCAAACAGTCTCAAGGAGGCAAGAGTAAACCCTCTCCTAAAGAAACCCACTCTCAACCCGTCTGATGTTATAAACTACAGGCCTGTCTCTCTCCTCCCGTTCCTGTCTAAAACACTTGAACGCGCTGTCTTTAAACAACTCTCCTGTTATCTCCATCAGAACAACCTTCTGGATCTGCACCAGTCTGGTTTCAAGGCAGGTCACTCCACAGAAACTGCCCTCCTTGCTGTCACTGAGGAACTGCACACGGCTAAAGCAGCCTCCCTCTCCTCTGTCATCATCCTTTTGGACCTGTCTGCTGCATTCGACACAGTGAATCATTAGATCCTCCTTCGCACTCTCCAAGAACTTGGAGTTTCAGGCTCTGCACTTTCCCTCCTCACCTCATACCTCAAAGACCGCACCTTAAGGGTTACTTGGAGAGGGTCCGAGCCTTGTCAATTAACTAAAGGGGTCCCTCAGGGCTCTGTTTTGGTCCCCTCCTCTTCTCCTTGTACACAAACTCGCTCGGATCAGTCATTAGCCGGCATGGTTTTTCATACCACTGCTACGCTGACGACACCCAATTACTTCTGTCCTTTTCCCGCTCAGAGACCCAGGTCGTTGCACGCATCTCTGCTTGTCTAGCTGACATCTCTCAGTGGATGTCTGCTCACCACCTCAAGCTCAACCTTGACAAGACTGAACTGCTTTTCCTTCCGGGAAAAGATTGTCCCACTCTTGACCTGACAATCAACATCGGCACCTCAGTTGTTTCCCCGACTCAGACTGCAAGGAATCTGGGTGTGACCCTAGATAACAAACTGTCCTTCACTGCAAACATCGCTGCTACAACCCGTTGCTGCAGATACACGCTTTACAACATCAGGAGGATACGTCCCCAGCTGACCCAGAAAGCCACGCAGGTTCTGGTCCAGGCTCTCGTCATCTCACGCCTAGACTACTGCAACTCCCTCCTGGCTGGTCTACCTGCATGTGCCATCCGACCTCTGCAGCTCATCCAGAATGCAGCTGCTCGTCTGATCTTCAACCTTCCTAAATGTTCCCACACCACGCCGCTCCTCCGCTCCCTTCACTGGCTTCCGGTAACTGCTAGAATCCACTTCAAGACACTGGTACTTGTGAATATGCAGTGGCGACTGGTCATTAGGGGCAGGTGGGGCACAGCCCCACCTAGTGTCAGCAGAAAGTATTACAAATAATAATTACAAAAAAATGCAAAAAATAAATTAAAAAATATATAAAATATATTTTAAGATCATGTTTAATCATCTGATTCGTCTGTACATTGCTGTGTTCTTATAATTAGTGTCTACAGTGTGTGCCTATTGAGCTGTTTAGAGCCATGTCGGACAAAACCCGATCATGCCCCTCCCTCTCACTGTCTAAGTGAACGGTGACTGTAAAAACTACACTGTGCATGCTCAGAATATTGTCCTATTTAATGTGTGTGGCAACAAAATAATGACCATAGGGGCATAGAGCTGCCATCCCCACCATACGTCATCTCACATAATTCAGAGCTGATTGGCTGTAAGTACGTGTGTCGCGAAAAGTGTGGTGTGTGAAGAGGAGACGAGAGAGCTGCAGTGACGCGTCCTAAAACCCGGAAGTAAGCTGCGCATGGCTTCCCTCCACAAAAAAGCAATGAGATTTCTCCATAGGATTTTAGAAAATAGCTCCAAATAAGATCTGTGTGAAACATACCTGTTAGATAAATGCACGTTTTGTTCAGCCGGATAATATCCACATGTCTACCCTACTTTTATCATTTTCTAATCATAAATCTATCGATTGCATTTATGATAGACTTTTGAAACTACAAGAAGATAAGGAGGGTTAGAGATTTTTGTCCAGAAGGATAGGCAAATGGACTTCATCTTCAAGTCAAGGTAAGACCGCAATTTTATTGAAAATGAGATCTTACTAAGAGAGAACAATTCAATATTTAAATGATAAAAGTACATTTTTTGGGTATCCTTTTGTTGAACTGTCTGTTTAAAATTAATCGAAGCATCAGACCAAAAAAAGCTTTTGAAGATAATATTATATTTTGATTTTGGTCAAAATATAATATGTGTAAACCTGAAGAGTCAGTGCCAGTGCCTCACCAGCCATGAACCTCACTGCAGAAGCTTATAGACATCTAAGTTTTTTGTGCCCCACCACTTTTGTACATATAAAAACGCCACTGTGAATATGATACCAGTGTATAAGACCAAACTCAAGGGAAGTCAACCAGAAAAGAAAGTAATAATGACATGGACAAATGAAAGTCGGGAGCAGTTGAAAGCCTGTTTTGATTGGACAGATCGGGACATTTTTCAGGAAGGTTCACCAGATGAAATAACTACTGTTACCAAAGACTATATTAACTTCTGTGTTCCCACTAAAGAAATACAAATCTATCCAAGTAATACATCATATGTGACTAAGGACATTACAATAAGTTATAAAACCAGGAAAATAGCTTTCAAAAACAAAGACTATGGAGCACTTGAACAGACAGAGAAATAACTGAAAGTCAAATTGAGGGAATCAAAACACACAGAGAGCTTTTGGGAAATGCTTTTAAAGCCAAAGACCCCCAAAAAGTGTGGGACACCATGAGAACCGTGACAGGAATGACCTCTTCAGCTAAACCTATTGTGACGGACAAGACATACTTGATCCATACCAATTTGCCTATAAGCAAGGGGGTGGTACTGTTGCTACTCTGGTTCACATCATCACTAAACATTTAGATAAACGTCACACCTATGCAAGAGCCCTCTTCCTAGACTTCTCAGCAGCAACACAATACAAGCAGACATCTTGGTGTCAAAAATGGCCAAAATGGAAGTAAATCCATACCTGATTTACTGGTATGCCGCTTTCCTCACCAGTAGAGAGCAACTTGACCAAACCCTGTCATCTGCCATCACAACCAATGTAGGGGCCCCCAGGGCTGCGGGAGTTCAGCTGTGCTCTTAGCTTCTTTGAGCTTCTTTTGATGACTTTACTGAACTACTGTCTATAGTGTGTTTTGACTTTGACCGTCTAGTCATTGTTGGTGATTTTAACATCCATGTTGACAACCCCCAGGACAGAGCGGCTAAAGAACTGTTTTGTGTTCTTGATAACTATGGTGGGGACCCTCTCATGACATCCAACTATAGGCCCATCAGTATCTTACCCATAGTATCCAAGGTATTTGAGAAATTGATTGCCAAACAAATCAATCATCTCAACAACAGCTCCTTTCCACTGCATCGAATGCAATTTGGATTCAGGGCTAATCACTCAACAGAAACAGCGACATGCTTCTTCGTGGAGAAAGTTAAGGCATCAATGGACAGGGGTGGGGTTGTGGGGGCCGTGTTCCTTGACTTACGGAAAGCTTTTGACACTGTTAATCACAACATCTTATTGCAAAAAATACTCAACTTAAATGTTTCTATAGAATTCACCAACCTCTTTAATTCGTATCTTTCATCCCTCTCCCAATGTGTTCAAATTGAGAACCATAAGTCTAGTGCACTATGTTTGTCAACTGGAGTACCGCAGGGCTCTGAATTGGGCCCAATCCTGTTTAGTATAGTTACGGCTGCTGCCTTCCGGGTCGTCTTTATTGTGTTAATCTATGTTGTATGTAAATGAGCAGTGCGATTGCCCTGACGTCATTGGCTGCCATCTCCTGGTCCGCCCCCTGAGGATTAT